TTAAAGTTATTTTTCCTAAAACATAGAACAGTAAATAAAGAAGTAAAACAAATAATTATTTCTTCTAGTTACAACCTTTGTACTCGGTTGCTGCTTGATGTAGGTTGCCAAGCCTTTAAAAAATTTGCAGGTGGAGGACATGAAACAAAATATTTTTTTAGGTTTTATATATACAGTTGAATAACTAAAAAATCATAAATTACTACATCAATACCATAGAATTCTACTATAATTCATAAAACATAGTAACTAAGCTGTATTTGGGTCTAAAAAAATATTAAATTTCGAGCAGACTAAAGACACAACCTATCTCCTTCAAATATTGGTTCAAAAGAAAGAAATATCATCCAAGCCCATTAAAATGGCTGAGAAAGCCACAAGGGGACATTCTGAGCTTCAGATTGGTTATTGATGTCATATATAGAAGTGTTTATAAGGGAGCATTTCCAAAAATGTAAGGAGGCGAGTGGGATGCCACTGTGTTTGATTTATTACGTGAGCAATATCTTAGCAATTAGAAAATATAAGACCTTCTTATTTTTTATTCTAGCTTGTCAGTATCTGTAATTTGAGTTTCTAATTCATGTGAAACTATAGACTTAGTATTTTGACTTCACAAACATTTAATTTGAACCAGTGCTGCATTCAACATACCACGTGACACACAAAAATCAGTGTTTATCTGTGTTTTTTAATATTTACTTTTAAGTTAACAAATCGAGTAATGTATAGTTCTAAAATTTGAATTATAATCTACAGTTTGATACCAAACTTACTGACATAAATTCCTGAAATAGTATTTCAATAAAAATTTTGAATGTGAGTCAACAAATGAGATGATTTGGCCTTTAACCTGTGACCCGTATCGAAACGGTTAATATCTCTGAAACTGAATCAATTCTTAGACATTTTCTAGTAAAAAACTAATGAAATAGAGTTAATGCTACTGTTTTTACTTAAATTGTAAAATTGGATATGCAAGCGCGACCTTTACATCTGAGAGCTGTACTCTGGTCATAATAGAGTTCAAGGTCAGGCAAAATAATTATCTCTGACATATTGCAAATTAATAATTGATTTAAGCACTTGAAGTAGTGTTTATGATATGCTAACATGATTTCTTGAAATGCAATGTGCTGTAATATCTACCTTAAAACCTAATGATCTGTTTACACTCTCAGGCAACAAATCTTTCTCTTGCAGAAGACATAGTAAATTGTTTAGAACTGTTTAAGATAAGAACAGTATTTTGTAAGGAGAAGGTGCTAACACCATGATAATTCTCCTTCAGTACCATTTATTCACTAGCTGTATGTAACCAATATCCACAGTTGTTCTTGGCTTGAAGAAAGTGGTGGCTGATGATCTAATTGTTTGGTACAATGACACAGTAACCACTGCTGTTGGTCCTTGCTTCAAGTCATTGCGATTCTGTGCCAAAGAGCATAAGTTCAGTGAAGCTGGCAAATTACACTATAGCTTTTGACAAAGTTCAGGTGCACACAAAGCTTGGCATTCCTCAACTACCCAATCCATTTCCCCAATAGATGTCAAAGTGTCCGTCTGAGAAAAAGTTTAAGAGTCTACTGCTCTTCCTTGTAAAGCTATTAAACCCACTGTGAGATATATTGTATGATGCATGTAATATAAAGATTGAGGCCTCAAAGTCATATGTTACAAGAGTAAGTGAGGCTTTATAGGAATACTGAATGTGTTTCCCATGGATCAAAACCTTTTATACTACTGAAAGCAAAACCATTTTAAGTACCCACTAATAGCCAAACTTGGGAAGTCTCTTACTTTCTGTTTCAGCAACAAATTTACCATTTGAGCATATGTTTTATACAGCGGGAGACATTTTCATAGCTCAAAGGGCAAAGTTGAAGTCTTCTCATGTTTTGAAACAATTTTAAAGAAAAACATGGATTGATTAACTTCATACATGTTCTCTCAAGTGAAGTATTTTAATACCAACAATGAGCAATGAAGACAGAAACCTTATGTTGATAAAGAAAAGTAATTTATTTTGTCATTTTATGATATTGTGCATTATAATTTTAATCAGAAGTCTGTTTGTTTGATTTTTATCATAAAGTTTTAGTTGTGTTTATGCTTTGTTGTAATTCCTTATTACTGGTTTTCTGTCTAATCATGTTTTATTTTAAACCAATCGTGTCATCTGTGTTGATATAAATTAGAATTAAATAGTACATTGAGCAGTGAAGTAATATCAGTAGCCAGTTTAGTTATCCATAAAACTGGTTAATGATGTAAAGAGCCAAACTTTATCAGTGTTCTTAAGGATGTAAGATACAGACATAATTATGTAGATTACTGTTTGTTGAGTCAGAACTCAGTACTAAAATATTTACTGTGTACAGGGCTTATGTTTATCTGTTACTATCATTTTATTTAAAGAAAAATATATTTGTAAGAAAGTTTGGTATTTGTTTAATATAATACTTGAAATAACTTTGTTTAGAACATTTAAAGATGTCACATCTTCCATGCATTTTGTGCATTATATTCCAGTACAGTTACAACTATTGCATTATATTGTATACACAATTTGTGGTAATACCCACCAAAAATATGGACTTTCCTTTTTTTTTTATCTACAGAAAAATGGTTGGGATGCTAATGAAATGTTTAGAACAAATGCTGAAAAATATGGAGTGACTTCAACGTATGACAGCACACTTCAAGGCTATACGTGAGTTTTTATTTAAGCGTTTTTAAAATTTTATTGAGGTGGATTATGTTATATTCATAAAATAAGAAGCACATTTTGCTAGATATTGATTATGTTTGCTTTGTTACTAATGGTTACTACCCCAATTTTACATGTTTCTAAGGTGGTTTATTTATAAGAGGTCATAATGTTATATCACTGTCTGTGTTTTATCCTCAAAATTGACAAATGGGAGACCTCCATTTTGTTTAATGCATCATTATAAATTAAGAATGTAAATGTAATAACATTATTCATAATTCTTACATAGATGTTTTTTGTTTATGAAACTAATTATACTGAAAGCAAGTCCATTTGATACATTCAGTCCTCCCCCAAACACACACTGTGACTCAGCAGTTAGTGTTTAGGCTTAAATCACTGAAATTTGGGTTTTGATAACTAGTGGACACCACACAAATAACTAATAGCTTTCTGCATAACAACAAGCAAACATTATATCAAAACAGTTAATTCTACACCATTATATCAAAACAGTTAACTCTACACCATTATATCAAAACAGTTCTAAGGCTTTTAAACAAAATATTTTAAATTTGTTTCATTTTGTGATGATTGGTGGATTTTTGAATAGGTTATGAAAGGTTAGTAATTAGTTTAAAACAGTGACTGTCATATTTTAAACCAAAATGTAGTTTTATTGTGTAGCTGACAATAATAAATTTATACTGTTTTTCTTAATTTTTTCTAACACTAAATATAAATTACATTTCAGTTGCAGATGCAAACTGTTAGAATATATTTATTTTGAGCATGATAATTATTATCATTATGAAAAGGATGAACAGTATTTCTGTCAAATTTCTTCTTCAGTTAATTACCAGATTACCCACTATGTAAAGAATATATAATAATTATTCGTTAGATAACGTGAAGATGAGGAATATAGAATACAGTCCAATAACTTATTTTAAAATCTAGATGTTAACTATTTCATTTAAAATCATCATGTGATGGTTTTTTTATATACAGTATAAAATGATTTTAGGGATATTTTTAGGCTAAAGAATAAGTGAACTTTACTGGACACAGAACTATAATTGGGGTTACACACACACACAATTATAATTGGGGTTACTCTCTCTACTGATTTAATTAAGATATATATTTAATACAACATAGAGATGTTTTGTCAGTGATATCTACTGAACGTGGAATGTATTTTCTGCAAGCTTCAAACATCATGTGTTCTGCTTGCAACATGCTAAGATTTGTTGAGAGAGAGAAAGAAATTTTGGCTTTTGGTAATGATCTCAGTTGAATTTTTGTTATAATGTTGTTATAACCCTTAAACACTTTTAATTAATTACTAGTCTTTTTGAGGTTCGTTTCTTTAGCATTGAGTCTTTGGGGAAATCCTGAACTTTAACTTCTATATGTTTTTTTTGTTGTTGTTGTTCAGTTTTGAGAACATAACACCTGGTCTGCCCATGTAGGGTATAGCTGTAAAGTTGTATCTTGGGCATGATGGTGAATGGCAATGTCTTCCAATGGTAGGTCAGTTTATATCTCGAGATCACAACCTCCCTTATGTTTGAATGGGAATTACCAGTCATGTGAATAGTACTGGTTGCTCTAGGTAAGTGTGATGTTATCAATTCATCTAAATAACATGAGATTTAGATAATCAGGAACATTGTCTTGAGGAAGTCGATCAGCTTGAAGGCCCAGCATGTGCGAAATTCAAAACAAAACAAACCAAATGATCAGCTTGGAAAATAAGTCATGTGGGAGTAGAACCAGACTGATCAACTCACAACTCCAGTAAAGACGGCTTTGTGTCATCCATAAGATGAAGTACACGTGCTATAGATTTCTACTGTGTCAAATAAAGATTTTTCTTATTGTGTATCACACTTTGTGTTCAATCCAATTATTTCTTAGCACAGACTTTGTTTATTTTAATTTGGTATTAGTTCATAATTTGTCTTGCCAAACCTCCCATTATATAAGGGACCTACCTAATTTACTTTCAGGAAATCAGTTTGCCTGAAAATACCATACAGATGCCATTAAACTTTTTCTGTGTATGTGTTATATTTTTCAGTGGTGTAATATTTCATTTTAAATAATTGACAGTTTTTTTCTCTTCTAAAGTGTACCTTTGGAACGAAAAAATACTGAAGAATATAAGAAACAAGAAGCAAAAGCTATGAAAATAGCCTTGGAAATAGAAAATAGTCAGCAGTATCGCACAAGAATAGCGTTAGAAAATGGTGATGAAGAAGAAAAATATAGTGCTGTGATAAGGCCCACAGAAAACATGCACAATAATTCCAAGTAAGTTTTCTTGTATTTTTTTTCTCTCAGAAATTAATAGAAATAATAGTACTATGATGTATTTATGTTATTATTATTATTAACTTGTGAGCCAAACTTTAGGCTGAAATATGAACATAACATTTACCAAAGTTGTATGTGTTATGCGATCAGACTACAATGTACAAAGGTTCTATATATATATATATATATATATGGTTTGGGATCAAACAGAATTTATTATATGTATCCTGATCTAGTTTTTAAATTGGTAATACGCAAGTCATAAATGATATTTTTAAAGGTTTCTTATCAGTAACTACTAGTTGTTCTGTTTGTTTGACATCAGAAAATTGAAAATTTATAAAGTTTTATTTTGATATTGTTTGTAATACTAAAATCGTATTGAGTTATTGTTTTCTAAAATGTGTTCAAGAGAGAGAAAGAGAGGGTATGCTATATAACAGAAACAGTGGCTGGGACTTTTATTAGTTAAACCTTGGTTTTATAATGCAATAAATGTTTCAACTCTTGAGTTTGTGAGACAGAGGAATGGTTAATTTTATAGTAGGTATGTTCCACCTCAAAAAAGAAGAAACGTTCCAGGAAGTAAAGTGGTTCGAACCATAACACAGCCACCTTCGTTACACCCATCAAAGTTGTCACAGCATGTTGGTCCACATGCATATTCCTATGGCCACAATAGACCTATAGCAACAACAACACCAAGTCCTTTGGTCACCACTGTGACTACACCATCCCCTAACCATGCCTCTACCAAGCCATCTCAGACACCTGTAATTCCATTTCAGCAGCAGACAATTTCACCACATCAGCCTCATCATACAGTTCATTATCAGGAAGCCAAGGAAACAAGAGTTAATGGGGGTAAAATGCCCCAGTCTAGTAAGTCCTTTTTTGTTTTTCATTGTTTCAGCTAGCTTGCAGGCAAGCTGTTTTCTAACATGTATTTTTCATTTCATAAATAGACACACTGCATTTATAAAAGTAATTATGGAATATTACATAGTTGCACTGTTACCTTTTGTCAGGAAGTATTTTTTTAGTAGTATATATAGTGATGTAAATATATGGGTGTGTTGGCTAAGGATTCTTCTACAGAAGGTGTCTGTGACTTATTGGTAATAAATTTGACAATAAACAAACAGCATGCACTCCACTTGTTTTTAATATAACATATATATTCAAAACATGTTAAACTTGTATCCAAAAATTCTTTCACTGTGGAGATCATAGTTGTATTTTAAATACTATACAGTTCTCTTCTTGTTGTCAAAAATCCCCTTAGGCCGAACTATTTTTATCATAATAGAATCCGTGTATAATTCACTTACACTGTCACATGAGTTACTGCAGTTGTACCCTGAACTTCCAATAATAATCTGCCTTTTCATACTTCCAATAATTGTCTGCCTTTCATCAAAGTCCACACAGGCTGGTTCAGTTAGTTTAGAACACCCTTTGACAAGACAAATTATTCTCCTTATCTCTTTCAAACTGTTAATCTCACTCTAAAATATCAGCCATTAGGCCATTCACTCCCATGATGGTTAACTTTACGTTTTCTAACTTTTCTTTGACCGAAGTTCTCATTCATGTGACTTTACATTTACTCTCTTTCTGCTCATCTGGTCCCAGTTATTTATACGTCTTATCACTTAGGCCTTCTAGAAATCTCTATAGTCTTGACATCAATGAATTGCAAACACAAAATAAATAAATTAATAATACCACCTATACTAAACAGTCTTTTATGTCTCACACTTTTTCCTTATAATTAGTGTACCAGAGAAATAAAATACATATTTGAAAGTTTTAAGAAAGCTGACAATTCTAAGATAAGAGGATGAATTATTTGCATTCCCTAGTTTTTTCACACTCTGACTTTCAAAAAACTAATGTATAAAGTGAATGTACAATATGTACTTTATTTTTTATGGATTTTTCTTGCCTTTGTTGGAAATAGTGTTTCATGATATTAGAGATAAATTCGTAATAGTAAAACTGGTACGTAACAGAAAAATTCAGTGAAAATATTAGTAGTGGATTTTTGTTTTGTGTCATGACTGTTTTTAAAGTCTGTATAGATATGAAATATAAATTATTGAAAAGCTTCAATTTATCATTCTCTTATGTTTCTTTATCTATAAAACAGAAGAATTAAGGACAACTCTTCCAACAGAAAACAAAGAAAATATTCCTAATGTTGCACATGTAACTAGTAATACAACTGTAACATCTCAGCCTGTCACATCCACGTCTAAACCTTGTGAAAAAAGAAAAGACCAAGAGAGAAAGGGAGGGAACCAGAAAGGTAAGAATATAGTTTGATATTTATTTTAAAGAAAAATGGTTTTCAGTATGTGTAGTGAGCATTCTCAAGATTTCATCTGCCCCTGTTGTGTCATGTTGCTTTTTAAATTGTGTGTGTATCAGAATGGCAGTGCTTGGAACTAAAATATAAGAATTGTGACTACAAATTCACATTAAAGTCTGTACGGGCTATAAATCATGTATTATTATTTACATTAAATGACATCAAATATTAGTTTAAGATTACGGCATAAATGCTTATAATCATACATAATCTTTATTAAGGACAGAATCCATGGAGAATAGCTCTCTCACCCAGTGACTAAATGAAAAATTTTTGCCCTCACATAGCACCACAAGTTATGCTAGTCAGCTAGAGGTGGAGTAAGAAAACCGTTTATCCCCACTTTAAAAACAAAATGTTTATTACTAAATTTGTTTACGGTCACATATGAAAATATAAACATCTGTTCTAAAGGATTACTCAGATAGACCTAACAATTTCATTTCTTATTATTTGTATTTGGTCATTTAGATATGGTTCTTTCTTTTTAGTGAGGTGATAAAGTAAGCAACTTTGTCTTTTTTAATCCTAGAGGTGCAGAAAATAGTAATTAGTATAGTTTGAAGAAAAGTATAGAACCTAAACACTACCATCATTATGCAATTTCAATTTTTAAAATTTTCTTTTAAAAACTAACATCTCTTAAATAATCTTTTTTTTAGCATTATTATTTATTTTCTGACATCTTATAGTTGATATTCAACTGTTTATAGTATTTTTTCGAGTACAACTGTCTTGTGACAATTTCTGTCATTCACTAAGATTATCTGTGCCTCAGTAAACTTATCCTGCTTCAATTTCTGATGACTTAATAAAGCCCCTTTGCTGTATTCTTCTACCATCTGCTATTAAGGTCAATCATACTTTTGCAAAAATTGATTTAAGGCAATTTATTTACAGAAGAAATTTATTGGCAGAAGAAAAAGTACCAGAGATGTTGTTAAACCAGTCATGATAATTGTATTTTCAAATATTTATTTCGTTTCACATTTCATACCATTCACCTCAGGTAATACGCAACAATTATCATCTAACGTGTATGAAAGCTTAAAGTTTGAAAAATAAATACTATAAGGCTCACATAGTGCACAGTTAAGTCAGTTACATGATTTATGATGATAATATATTTACTATTACTATTCCACGAGTAATACAAAAGATATTTCTAGTTAAATGGTAAAATCAGGAGAAGTCAAACTACATGATGCTTCACAAATGTGGAGTTATAAAAAGCACCTGGAAGCATTTTCTCTTTCCATCTTATTCAAATATAGCACATTTAAAATAGCATAAACTTTGTCATCTGTTACTGTTTTCTATCAAGACAGAACTTCCCCTGAACTTAAAAATGTGATCAGTATACTTAAAAAGACCTCTCCTGGTCCCATTTTATTTGCATTTAAAGTTAGACATTTCTCTTCATTTAATGCCACTTATACGTTTTGTTTATGCATTGGCTATTTCCCCAAATCCTTAAAGGTTATTAACATTGATGTCACAAAGGAAGATGAAAAGTTAGGCTATTTACATAGCAGTTACAAGCCAATTGAGTTATTATAACAACAAAAAAATACCTGGAACAGTGCTATGAAGCAGCTCCATTGCACCCCACGTTGCAAGTTTTTTAACATACTACCTTATTATTGTTAAATATGATATGCCTGCCAACATAATAAATACAAGGATTCCTTAGCCTGTTTGAATGCAATGCATATCAGAAAGTTAGAAAATACATAATGCTAGCAGTTCATGTATAGTTTTTTCAATTATGTATTAGTTTTTGAAAACATTGTACATAAACGTTTGTTGTTTTTTTTGTTAAACTCACAAAATGGTAGTAACATAGTAGGTTTAAACTTTTAGCTTAAGTTGTTAATCTGCATTATTCCACAGCATTGATCAGTTTTTGAACAGACTTAACTTGTTTAGAAACTTGTGTGAAGTTCAACCTTAGTTCAAGCAAATTGTTAATAAATATTTTTTGTATTTTTATTTATAAACCTATAATAAAAAAATGCAATTCTTTGTTTTATTTAATATTTTGCCTACTATGGCAACATACATTTTTTTTAAATGTTTTAAATTACTTTAAACTAAAGGAAATTAAGGATGGCTCAATTACGAAAAACTTTTTATATGTGTAAGCTGGAAAACAGCATAGAGATCAGTTTATTTAAGAGAATGTTTTTTATATTGTTATTTTTTATTTTATTTAGGGAGAGATGAACAGTTGGCAGAATTTAAAAAGTTTAGTTCAGATTTCAGGGTAAGATTTTTGTTAACCTAAATATACATATTCATTCAGTTTTTAACAATTGTTAAAGTATTTTAAGTCATTTACTGAGTAAAGTGAAGTTCCTTTGATGTTAAAAATAAGGTGCCTGTTATTTCCATGCCAAAATGGTAAACTAGTTTTTAACTTTTTTGATAATATTGATCTTTATACTTCCAAAGTTTAATAAAGTATTATTCATGTCTTCACTTGTCTGTTCGAAATTCACATTCTTATTATTTCTAGCTGTAATGCTTTCAGAGCCTTTGGAAATTAATTCAGCAGTTTTTATCTGAAAATTGATTCATTTACCTAAACATTTTAAACTGTGATCTCTCGACCTTAGACACAAGGAGTGAGTTGATGTTTGTCTTTGTGCCTGCTATGTTATCTGTAAAAAGTCAACCTACAATTACTAACACTTATCTGAAGTTCTAAAAGGTTTAATCATATGTTTTTACATATTGCATGGTAATACAGTGTCCCCCCTGCCCTCCCACGTTTTTTTAATGGCACTACAAAGTGCTAAGTATGTTATACTGTTTGCTCTGAAATGTGTACTGCAGTATGAGGCTATAATTAAATCACCAGTTTGAAACCAGTAATGCAATAGAACCAGAAAACGTTGAAATATCTTTCAAATGTCACATCAGTGCTTTAGCTGTTGCGGTTAATTCAGGGTTACTGGGTGTACCCCCCAATCCTAGCTGGCGTGGAGTACGTGGGGGCCAGGCACTGACCTGGAGCCGTCAGACGAAAGGGCTTACAAGTAGATTAGCTTCAGTTGGCAGGGTTAGACTCCCTGGATGGGGTCCGCGCAACGTCGCAGACCAATGGCTGTTAACGCTGCAGGATATGGCGAGAAACCGGGCTCAGTGGCGGTCGTGCTGTATACATCTTATTGGTTTGTCTGCCTAATCTTGTCTGTCTGCCAAGTCCACTGGCGAGCGAGGCATGTTATGATGCGTGGCAGTGAAAGCCTCAAGGAAGCTGTCTCGCTGATGTCGCTGGACTCGCCCAGAGGACTTGTCCCGAATGCTTGTGTATGCATGGCTTAGATGCTGTGCCCCCGCCTGTATGTGCTCCACCATTTCCGTATTCATGGAGTGTTAGATCCCACTTTTGTCCCCATTTTCTTATAATAATAATTCATGATTGTGTGGCAGCTAAGCATCGGTAGAATTATC